CAGAGAAGATTTTAAGGGGTCCCTTTGGGGGAAAAGTAGAAAAAACAAATTTCCTTTCCAATTTCTTCCTCTAGGCTTTCTATTTTTGTTATGGGGTTGCATGGTTTTTTTTCTCCCCTTGAATTCGGGTGGGAGTAAACGTATAATTGTTTTTTATTAAGCAAGTCAATGGGTTGGTTTCAAATTGGAGCTTAATCCCACCCTCCCAAATATCGCCGAAAAAAAAACAATACCCCTATCAAGGTTTCAAAAAATTAGCAATTTTCAATCTAATCTTTTTTTTCGTACCTGGTGGTTTGATTTGAGTTGCCCATTAATCACCCAAATTCTACAAGAATCCCAGCAAAATTCCTGCCACGATAAAACCAACCTTTTGAAATGTTAGAGTGCACACAATCTTGAGCCCTAGTAAAGGCAGATGGACCATAAACGACTTTAAAGCATTAAATTTGCACCACACAATTTATCAAATAAAGAATTTGGAAAGGTCTTTTTTGTCGTCTGAAACCAGTAAGAGTGGACCGAATCAAACTTATCCAATTCAAAAGGTCATTTCCAACGAACACCTTAAAGCACAGAGCCCAACCTGAAACACACTTCTTTATCAGAATTATATAAACTTCTAACCTACAAATGCGTAGCAACTCCCCATACGATCTTCAAAACCAGTTTTCAAAGCATCCAAAACAACTAATGAACAATAAAACAAAATCTCAGAAAGAAGAGTTACAGTTGGGAAAATCTCCAAGAAGATGAAATCTATTTACTTAGAATTCAGATAAAAGTGAAATTACAAGTAGTAATCAAAAGAAAATCCCTGAAAAAAACAGATCTAAAAGCCAAAGATCTAGCCTACAAAGCAACACTACTATTATCCCTAATCACGCTGCCCACACAAATAAAAAGGACACAAAAACCTAACCCCCGAAAACCATACAAGGATCCTTCCCCTGCCTCTTGAGTGCATACACCACATCATGGCTAGTGACTGTCCCTTTCATCCTAGCGTGCTCAGTATAAGTCACGGCATCGCGGAATTCACGTTTTCCAAGAAAGATCTTGAAAAGGACTAACTCACGTGTCTCTTCATAGATCAAACTCACTGATCCTCTTTACCACCTGTACCTCTGACGAGCCAAACGACGAATTGCAGGCTTAGTAAATACCCTGATGTTATCCTCTGCAGAACTTTCCTATGCCCTCTTGGCTCCTCCTTTCCCACCCTTGCCTCCCTTCAACGACCTGACATTTTCTCGAAGAGATTGGAGTGGATTTGTGGAGAGAAATTTGAATTGGAAAAGTTTGGAAACGAAAGATTTTGAGTTGAAATCGAAGACCCTTTGGGGATTTATTATGTGATTGGGAGATCAGCAGATAGGCGGGTGGTTGATTGGAGCCGTTGAATTTGTTTCTAAATGCGACCGTTTATGCATGATTTTAAGAGGTATGCGACACGATTGTGCTTTTGGAGAGGTGCCTTTCGAAGATTCTAGCGGGGTTGATTTGATTCGTTTGATCTAATTCTCATCGACGCTAAAAAAGTCAATCCACGCGTGAAAGGGGAAAATTGGAATTGAACCGTGGATGAGGTCTTAATCTCGATTCAAGAACAGTAGTTTGAGGTGTGACACGAATTATGCTTTTTGGGTATTTTGGGCATTATTCGGTGTTCAAGCGAGTTGAATTGATGGTCTTGGATTACAATGTCCACCAACGGCTGGAGAAGTCGATCCGCGTGAAAGGTAACATTTGATGTGGACCGTCGAGAAACTTTCAAATCGACGCTGAAATGAAATGGTTTCGAGGATCAGTTGCCAGCGGAGTGTGTTTTTTTTTTGCAGATGATGCTTGTGCAGATGGAAAACGGTTGATAAATTTTTTTTAAAACCACGGTGTCAGACTCTATTAGCTGTTTATTTGCCTGCTTCGGTGTAAATATATTTAAATAAAGATTGGAATTGAAATTCTTTTTCATACATGAAGCAATGATTCGTGAGTAAAATGATTGAAATTTTTTAAGTTCTGATTTACATAAAAATACAAATAAAAGGGGAAATAAAAAATGAAAAATATATAAATAAAAAAATTTTGAAAGGGCTTTTGTTTCAAGCCGAATGAATAAAAAGATAATCAAACCTTCACAATTTAATTTGGCAATTATGTCAATCCTAATTAATTTTAGCACTATATAAGTTTATTTTATAGCTTTTATTTTTATATTTTCTGTATAAATACAATCCCTAACACTTTCTGTACAAACTTAACTTTTTTAATTAAATTTTAAAACTTAGTACCACATGACTAGTCTGCAACTAATGAAGAAGGTTTGTATTTTTTTTTATTTTTTACTAAATCAACGGTACAACGGATTCTTATTACTATATTTAATGGTGGTTATCTATGAATAAGGACTCAACGTATGTAAATTCAATAATCATGTTAGCTGAATTTGAATGACAATCGTATATGGATTATAATTATATATAAAAAGAATAATAATAAAATATCAATTGATTAAAATTAAGAAAAAAATCCCGAAAGTTGTAAAGGATACGCAAAAAATTGAAGATTTTTTTTTTTTTCTGTTATTTAGGCCATTATATTTTAATTGATATCTTAGCCATGTGTCGATGTTAATTAAAAGTTTTGTTTAAAATGTTAAATATTCACTTACAAGTGATTTAAGTTTTCAATGAGCCTTAATTGCTAGATTTGGATGAGAGGAAAATTATTTAAAAAAAATATAGAATAAATGAACTGGGAAAAAACATTGAAACAGGAAAGTGATTTTACCATTGTTTTGGAAATAGAAAGGATAAATATTTAAATGGATGGAAATATGTATAATAATTCCCTCTTAGGCTTTATAAAATTATAATTTCTCCCAAATTGGAGAGAACATAGAAACATGGTGGAAAGGTTTACATAGCGCATCTTCACATTTGCTTATGGCTATTTTACATGATTGTAGCTAACGTTCAAAAGTTTGGAAGTTAAAAATATATATTTTTAGTTTGTTTTTCTTTTAAATTTGCAGTATCTTCTATTTGTAGAATTGAAGGAAAAAAAACTCTAAAAAGCCAAAAATTTTAATTTTCAATATTTTATTTAATAAATTAAAATTCTCCCTTCAAATCCATGTAGATTTATTGAAGATTTTATAATTAGAAAAATGCTACAATTATAAAAACAAAAATCCCAAACTAAGAATAAGGAACTTGCCCAATTATAACTGACTGTCACAACCTGTTTGTGTGCTGAGAAAATTTAGAAGGTAAGAGGAAAGGAACTATAAATTTTTAATCTAAATTAGCCAATAAAGCTTAAAGATTTTCACTGTTTCTATGTTTGTTTCGCCCTAAACTTTCAAAGCCCTATTAACCAGCTCAATTAGTAAGCCCAATAGTATATGGCCCATTTAGAGCAGTCAATCCAATTACCTTGAACTATCGGAACCGTTCGATTAGGTTTTTCCCTAAAAAGCTAGGCTTAAAATTGAAATCCGAACGTGCAACAAGTGACAGGCTCCGAGAGCTCGCCCGAAATACAAATCTCTCTGCCCAATAGCACTACCCGTAATCAGAGTCCGAGAGAAAGAGAGAGAGAGGCTGACACAAAGAAAGAGAGAGAAAAGATGCCTTAGAAAGTTCGATCCATGGCCCGTCTTACTTCAGGCGAGAGTATTAAACGCGGAACTGGCCATTCTTGGTCGGATTCGTATAACTGGAAGCCTGTCAATCAACGCAAGTTTTCTCTTGCCTTACAGGTACTAATATCTCGAATCTGTCTCAGATTTTCCAATTTACTTTACGATCTACGTATGATAATGTTTCTGCCTGTGAAAACGATCTCATATCCAATTTAAGTTGATCTGATTTTCCTGGTGGTGATGATTTGCAGAGGAAGACGCAAAGAATTCAAGTTTGTCAGAAGGCACAAGAAGTAAATTTTCCTTTTCTACCTAGTTGTGATTTTTTTTTTTCATTTATGTACGATACTAATGTACGTTTATTTCTTTTAATTTTACAATCATATATGTATTTGATTTTTGGGATAAAAGCGTGAAAGTGGCTGAAATGTTTGTAAATTGTTGGGCTAAAGCATGTGGATAGCAGAATGGCAAGAAATAATAAATAAATAACTAAATGGAACGCGGTGTGTGTCAGTATGTCAACGGCCTATTTTGGGCCCTTTGTGATTATAAATATATATATAATTTTGATGTGGTTTTGAATGATTTGGAGTTTTCGCATGTGCTTTAGGTGCATAGTAATATCCAAATGGAAAAAAAAAAAAATGTCCTGGGTCTGTATTTTGTTTTTGGCATTTTAAAAAGTGAACAACAAATGCTGAAATGTTGCAAATTAACTTCTAACAATGGATATGGGAATGATTTGCCTATTGGCATCTTAATGCCAGATTGGCACCGTTGTCCAGTAATCAAGAGAATTGAAACCGAATAGTATTTATACTTTTTACAGAGCCCGAATGAAGGAGATGATTTTAAGCCATTAATATTTTGCTTCATGCATTTGTAACTATAGTGCAAATAAATTTGTTGAGTTAAGATGGTTTCTTAAAGCCTATGCCACCAAGTCTTCCAGTTTGGTTTTTGAAATCCTATGAATGTGCCATAAAAAGTCATAGTTCCAGCTGATTTTCCATTTGGGAGGCTGTTATGGCTGTGCTGATATCTGGGGCCTGTAAGTTTTGTATCAAAGTGTTTTGTGACTTGTTTTTAGTTTGAGATGCAAAATTATTTGGATTAAGTTCCAACTCTTATGCCATTTGTTTGAAAATTGCAATGTAATTAATGTTACAAATTATGTGGACTAGAATGGCTGAATTACAAATTTGTCTGTACCTGTTTGGTGGTTGAATTATGTGATGGTTGGGACTTGCATTATAAGAGGTCACTGAATTGTGTGGGCTTAATGGTTCCAAAAAGAACTTTTTATATCTTTTTTTGCTGATTCATTGTGCTTTTGTGAGCTTGTGTATTCTGCAGAATGTTAATCCTTGAATAGCAACTAATTCAGTGAAAGAATTCGGATATTGACAAGTTGTTTTATTATGTTTTTTGAAATTGGACGTGGTTAAGGATCTACAGCTGAACTAATTAGATGCACTGCTTGTTGTTTAACAGCTGAATTGTTTTCCTTGATGTGTTTAAATGTCATAATTGCGACAATTCTATTTTAATTGTATTATTGAGTTTGAAATGTGTGTATATATATTATATTGATTAATATATATATATATAAAGATATAAGAAAGTTTATTTACCTCATGCTTTATTGAAATCTGATGTTACTGGGCCAATATAGTCGTTGTGGTATGACACATTGGGCTTCATGGTTTTGTGTCTTGCAGTTGAAGGGGGAAACCAACTTTAGTTTAATTAAGGAGGCAGCATTCATATCATTGCCAGGAAGGAAATGGACTTGCTATGTTTTTCTTTGCGCATATAAAATAAAGAAGTTTATTTACCCGATGCTTATGAACTATGTTACTGGCCAATATAGTCGTTGTGTATGACACATTGCTTCATGGTTTGTGTCTTGCAGTTGAAGGGGGAACCCAACTTAGTTATTAGGAGCAGCATTCATCCATTGCAGGAATGGAAATGGACTTGCTATGTTTTCTTGGCCATAATAAGCGGAGAGATTTTCTAGATACTCCAAATTTGAATTTTCTATTAGCTGTTGTTTTTTATGCATAACAGAGAACACGTTTTACTGGATGCCAGTTTAAGCTGTGTGCACTTGAACCGATTATCTTGGAAGAAAAAGAGCAAAATACCAGTTGGTTTGATATTTTTCTTCTTTTAGATATTTATCATTTTATTCAATTGGAATTGCAATATTTTTGAATTTTGGAGACGACATAATGTCTCTGTTCAATTGGTCTTCGTCAAGACAAGGTATTGAATATTTGAGGCTAGAAATCAGCGTTTGGAATTTTATTCTTCTGATCGATTCTGGCTTGAGTAGCTCAACCTGCCGTTCAGTGTTCACCTAAAATTGGGTTAATTTCATTTGTCATTTCTCAATCTAACACCAAAACTAAATTTTAGTTTGTAACAAAAATACAACACCAATGCTAAATTTCTGTTTGTAACAAATAGGTATACAAAGTTTAATTTACGTTACAAATGAGATGATTTTAATTTGTAACATGCTACTTGCAACTGATTTCAAATATGATTTAATTGATTTTTCTATTTATGTAGAGAATGAGAGGTTTGAAATTCGAATTCTATTTATGTTGTGTAGTTCATAAAATTTTCTTTCGTTCCATTAAATCTTCCAATGAATAACAAAAATTTATTTAAACTTAAAATAAAAATATCTACAAGTTTTAACTTTTAAAGCAAATAGAAAAAGGGATTTTAGTTTCAAGTTTGGTGTGAATTAAACATCCTTAAAGTCTAGTAGAGGGCTTGGTTATCAAAATTCGATTTTATAATTCAAAATGAAAGTAAATTTTTAGAAAATATTATTGCATATAAAATAAAATTATTTTTGGTTCAATTCAATTTGGTTCTCTAGAAAGAAAGAGTTACTTTGGCTTCAATTAAATTCAAATCTTAACCAATTGAATTTTCCACAATATTTTCTTTCTTGAGAAAAGGATTAAAAACAGAAAATAAAAAAATTTCACAAAAATATCTATTTATTGATCATTGTCGCAACAAAATTCAGGGCAAAAATATGTAGCAATTCAAGTGAAAAACAAGCTTGTATAACTATAAATTGATAAATGCCTGTATAACTTCCCAAGCCTCTCTCAGTATTGATAATTGTAGGAAGAGGAAAAAAGGTGATATTCTTCACCACTTATTTCCTATGATATCACAATGAAATGAGGGCATAGGCAAAGGGTAAAATTATGGAGAAGAAACTCTAATGACATGCAACAAAACACAGCTCATCTTCAACTCTGCTGATTGTTTATCAGTTCTTTTTGGGGACTCCTAGCCTCTTGCGAAAGTCCTCCTCCATTAGCGGAAGACCATCCCGCAACTTAACTTTTGGTTCCCAACCCAGTAATTCTTTTGCTTTTGTGATGTCAGGTTTTCTTTGTCGCGGATCATCAGGAGTATTCTCCACCATCTTTATCTCTACATCAGGACTAATAAGCTGCAAAACCACACCCATGAAGGACATTAATGATTACATGAGACCGAGAACCCTCTTTTCGCTATACAGCTATATCAAAACTCAACTCAGAAGATTGGTATCAAGCTGTATAATGCTGTGTGGTGTAGCTACAGATTTTCATTATTCATGCATCTCATTCTGGTAACTACCACCTGACCTTCTATTCTACTCTTTACTCTTGCCAATGTCATAAAACCTTTCTAGGTCTAATATAGGGGAAAACCAGCAATTATTGAGCTTCATAATGTGTTATCACCGGAAATGTGGCAACTAAAGTGCTTCCATAATATTTAATTCGTTATTTTGATGTGGCCTACTCAGCATTCTGAGTTTCTTTGGCATCAAGGCAGACACTGCTTTTACGGAAAAAAATTCATTTTATATGTCATAGGAAAGAGCAGCTTGGAGGTATTTTGGCATTAAGTCGAGACTGCTTTTATGAAAAAAAGCACCATTTTAGATGTCATCGGAAAGAGCAGTTTGGAGGTTTTGATTAGCTAGTTTGGATTTTTTATAATTAGAACATGCGAAATTCACATAAAACGAACTTTAATGATCTCTTAGTAGTGCTTTTCTCAAATGCAGATCAAAGAATAATGTAGGACCAGATGGACAACAAAAATTGATACTAACCTCCTTTACAGTGTCGGCAAGTTCAATCATGGTAAATTCCCCTGGAAGGATAGTGAAGAAGAGAAAGATAAAGTAATTTTGTGAGATAAGGATGGTGTGAGGACCTAACTCATGAGTCCAAGCATTGTAGTCTTTTGTGAACATTAAGTTAAGAAGGATAACCTGGATTTCCAATGTTGATTGGACCAGTGTTCTGTCCTTGCATAAGTCGAATAAGGCCATCAACCTGATACATTTTTTAAGAAAATGATTAGCTAGACTTAATAAGAACTTGTCACATGATCATCACCTGGGATATTAAGCAAATAAATGTAACATACATTTTACTTACCATGTCAGAGACATAACAGAAACTGCGAGTTTGAGTTCCAGGTTTTTGGACTGTCAATGATTCACCACTATAAAGTACAAAATATATGTGTAAATTGATAACTACAACAAAATATTTATTTAATTAACTGAAGATCTGAAATTAGAAAACAAAGAATTCAGGCTTTACAGCTAAAAAGACTCTCCACAGCTAAAACATTATAAAGGCTATGAAAATGCACAATGTTCTCACCGAAGTGCTTGAGCAATAAAATTGCTGACAACACGCCCATCGTCAATATTCATGCGTGGTCCATATGTGTTAAAAATTCTAGCGATGCGAATTTCTGTAACATATAAATAGAAATCAATGTCAAAAAAATTTGAAACAAGAAAAACTTGGTTCAGGATGGAGAAATATAAACACACATGTTTACCTATGCCATGTTGCCTGTGATAATCAAACATCAAAGTCTCAGCCACACGCTTTCCTTCATCATAACAGCTCCTAACCCCTATTATACCAAAGAGGATGAACAAATTGTCATGACTTTGTTAAATCGTTGATAATGTGCATGATGGGGGAAACAGGAAATGAACACAGTTTATGCATAAAAAGGAAAATAATGTTCCCTGATTGTTCATGGAAAACAAAAGCAGAATAAGTTCAAAGTTATTTGGAAAGAAATGAAAGAATGAAACAATATTTAGCCTTTCTATTTTATTCCAATCATATTATCAAATTATTTCCAATTAAAAACAGTTATCTTATTATTACTAGACCAGTGAAAGATGCAAGAGATACTGGTTTGAGGAAAGGTGAACATACCAATAGGGTTAACATTGCCCCAGTAGGTCTCTGGTTGAGGGTGAATAAGAGGATCACCATATACCTCTGAAGTTGATGTAAGCAAAATTCTGCTTGACAACAATATGAATGAGTAAATCCAGCAGTTGATGGTGAAAAAAACAAATGATAAACATGTAATCGAATCGCCTGACCTAGCCCCAACTCGCTTGGCAAGACCCAACATATTTAGTGTGCCAATCACATTTGTTTTTATTGTCTGTCAAGAGATTATTTGTGCCAAGTTAGATAAGATTCACCTTCTAATTCTAAATAAAAACATGCATATAAGGTCTAACCAAAACAAACAAAAAAAGACATGATAGCATGCTATATCAGAAGAATCAAGGAGCTAGCAGCATCCTTTTCTTGTCCTTAAGCTAAAATAGCACTTAGCTTCGGATGTCATACACTCTCAAATTGAATGATTCCTAAAACTAGTAAATCAAAATATTTAGTCTTCATAATTTATCTGACAAGTAGTTTAAAATATAACCCAGATCGACAGAGTATAGAAGGCAAATTTCCTTTTGTCCAATAAGAATTTTTATGGACATAGTTTACCCTTTTAGTAATCATGGCACTCAGTACAGGTGCCAGAGAGAGGGCAGTAAAAGAGAAGATAGAAGATCCAATTACTAAATTATGGTAAAAGAGACTTCCAAGATGTACAAATGGTAGGGCCCAACAAACGAGTAAGCAATTTGGTTTACACTTAATATCTTGATGATGTATAGCAAGTATATGGCAAAAGAAAAAATAATACAAGCATACTGAATAAAAAATTGATTGCAGGTTTACACACCTTTACAGGATTATATTTATAGAAAATGGGGGAAGCAGGGCATGCTAGATGGTAAATCTGATCAACCTCAATCAACAATGGCTCCGTGACATCTAGGAAGAGGGGGAAAAAAACATACACAACTCAATCCAATAAACAATATAAAATTATAAGAGAAATTATAGCAATACAGGAAATGTTGAGAACAGTGGCGAATCAAACTCACGTGAAACCTCATGCACAAAGAAAAATATATGAAAAATAGCAATAAAGAAAGCCACCTTCCATTATATTACAAATATGGAGCTCCTTTTGCTCAACTTATTAAAATATCCTGCTCATTTTTAAATGTAATTAAGTGCTAATGATACCAAGTCTTGAGCTAGCAACCAATACATTTCATGCCTACTCAGTAAAACCTTTCAACATCAACAGTTTCAGGCATGCCTGATAAAAAATAGCAAGATTTCTAGATCAAGGACTAGACAAATTAAATCTAGGTCCAGTGAATAATCTAGATCAAAACAGGGAAATTTTAATAAGAAGCTAAAAGATTGTAACATACCATGGCGAATGAGCTCAAATCTTGGGTGGCCAATCCACTGTTTAAGATTGTCCTTTGATCCAGTAAAGTAGTTATCCACAACTATTACCTGAGTAAATAGACACACAATTTGTATTAGAAGATGATAAGCTTTTTCTTTTTGAGAAATCAACTGCAGCATCTTTGACAGATATAAACTTGTATGAATGACGTTTGCCATTGATTTATCCCACATCAAGAGAAAAAAAAAAAAAAAGTGGTATCCCAGAGATCATGGAACTTAACTACGTAAAAATAAAATAACTGAGCTTAGATTATATAAGAAGCTATGCTTACTTCATTTTTCTCATTTTCCATAAGTTTATCAACCAGATGCGATCCAATGAATCCAGCTCCTCCAGTAACCAAAATTCTCATATTGGACTGTCATCAGCAGTGAAAGTCATCATTGAAGAGCATATACACTTCTATTTCCAAGATGCAGAAAAACATAAACACATAACAAAACGCCAACCAAATGGGAAGTAAAGCCAACTAAAACTTGAAGCAGAACACTGATATTATGAACAAATCTTCATGATCTCATGGATCTGAGGCATTAAATTTAAGCAGGACAGAAAAGATCTCTAAATTTCCAGAATTCCTAAAACAAACATCTCTCATTTTGGCTGCGAAGTATCTCTTTTTATATGGAAAAATGACATTTATCCATGAAAATCATACTCAAAAATGAATCAAGAATAAATTTTGTGAATAAGTTTCAATGACATAATTGGCTTTCATTTCATCTAACATCCACATGATTACATTTGAGAAGGAAATGCATCAATTTCAAAATTTAATAGCAAGCAATATAACTAAAAGAGCTACATTCAATTATTTTCCTGATGGAATAGATCAGATTCGGCTAGTGCTAAACAGCCAACTACATTAAATTATCTGACTTTGGATCACTTTCACTACTTCTACCATACTTGTATTCCCGTAAAGAGTCATTTTCTTACTGATAAAGAAAAGCATCAAGCAGTCAAAACTACACAAAGCTACTGAAAAAAGGTTCTAAAATTATCAAAATAAGCATTTCAAGTAGCTATAACACTGAATCACTATAAAAGATGCAATCTTGCCTGAAAAAACTTGGAATTTCTCAAAGGAGATGGCATTGGAGGTGTCTTTGTTGTTGTTATTTGATGCTCCCCATTTGAAGAATTGTTGGCCATCTCTCAGATCTCAAGAACCTGCACAATCAACTTCCAAACAATCAATGCAACAAGCAAACAGACATCAAAAGACACATGATACCCTGTTCAAGATTTTCAGACACATGATACCCTGTTCAAGATTTACAGACATCACAAACTTATAATGGGATCACAAAAGAGTCAGACATAGAGAAAAGGGCAAAGCATAGGACCTAATGAGGATGAACTATATAGGAGAATAACCCAAAACCGTGATTTGCTCCCTTGTGATTCACAAGACTGAGGGATGAGACCCTGCTATTTATAGTCCAATAAACAGTCCAAAAATCGAAACTTCTTTCTCCAAATAATGAATTAGCAAAATAAATAATAAATTAAAAAAATGAAATAAAGAAAGAGCCTTCAAAATTACGTAAACCCAGAAAGAAAAATTATAAAAAGTCTTCAAATTGACGAAAAGTGAAAGTCTCCCGATACTTGATGATAGCTCCTCGATAACAAATACCAAAAACCCAGATCACACCAAACCAATATAATACAGCTCACGAATTCGAAACTTAAAATATATAGGGCACAAACCTGAAAATTCGTTCTTGATATTGTTTTACCTTTTACTACCTTAATAATAGTTAATAATTAAATTAAGCTAAGCTAATCTGAGGTTTAAAATCTAATGCGATCTACCAAAATAGGCAGTGCCGCAGTGGGATTTATCTGTTTAGTTTTTTGAGAAGAGAAACCAAGGAGGCTAGGACGGAGCAATGAAATATACCAAGGCATCAAACTCGCCTTTGTAGTAGTGCCAGTGGGAAGAGGGACTGCCGGAGATTCTCAAATTGTTTAAAAAATATTCCACCTCGTAAAAAACCACAAAATAATTTTTTCAAAAATACATAATATGATTCTATTTTCACTTTATTATATATAAAAAACGGTGAAAATAAAATATATGAATATTTTTAAAAATATATATGTATGTATTTTGAAAATTATGGTTTGATTTTCTATTATAAAAAAAATAGGTCATTTAGTGTGCATAAGCTTATTATATGGTTTATAAGTATCATCGTGAGCCGTTAATTAGCCTTCATTTGTAACCAAGGTAGATTGAATATAGAACGATAGATGATATATTTTACGACGTAGAATTATTTTAATTTTGTGGTTCCTTAACTTTTATTTTAACTTATCGAGCAATTCAATTTATAAAATTATATATATTTAAAAATTTCACTTATAAAATTATTTTATTGAACATTTCAAATCACATAATTAGATCAATTAAATATCGATTAGATGATTGAAAAATATGAAAATTATTATTCCAAAAATTTGTGCAAATCATACATCAAATTAATATTTTTCATATAAAATTAAAAATCACAAATATTGTTATTATTAGCCTGTATATGTGTAATATTATTAAAATTTATCATTTTAAGGGTGTAATAGATTTTTTCTTTTTCAAAGTTGAAGGTGTTATAAAATTAAAGTAATATATATTTTAATAAAGTAAATTTACAAATACCTTACGTAAAATGATGAAGTCAAACAAATAAATTAAGATGTATTGTTGGTTGTATGAGCTATTTACATTTTAAAGTTTGGCATCCTAAACAACAGTGGCTGTAGTTTAGTGGTAAGAATTCCACGTTGTGGCCGTGGAGACCTGGGCTCGAATCCCAGCAGCCACATTTCTCTTTTCTTTTTCTTTTTATTTAAACTTTAAATTTAAAGTGCTATGGGCTCTCTAGTTCGGGTTTTGTTGTGGGCTTTGAGACTGCAAAATTCATGAAGTCCAGTGCCAAATATTTAGTTTCTTCTTTTTTTTTTTCCCCGTAAAAAAGTTTCTTTCGTGAAGTTGAGTCAGAAACATTAATTGATAAAACATTAATAAAACAATTAGTATATTTTGTAATAAATTAAGACTTGAGACAACAACTTGAATTAAGAAAATATGAACAAAAATAAATAATTTATATCTTTTGATAAGTTAACATAACAACCTTAATATAAAATTACTCTTCCAGTTAATCTATGATATATATTAGTGAGAAGAAAGCAAGCCAACTGCCAAAATAATTAATCAGATAAACTAAACAAAGTATATAAAACTTCAGCTGGGTATATTGTTTTTTAATTATTCATTAAGGCGTGTTTGGCTTATAGATTGCCATTTGAGTTACCTAATATATTTTTTCTCATTGTCCTGTACATATTTACTAGAGCCGAGCTCGAATTCGAATTGAGTTGAACCTTTTCAATTTTTTTTTAATCGAGTCTCGAACGGGCTGGCTCATTTATATCGCTGCTCACACGCCAAGAACACCCACATGCACAAAATACTAATTCACAGGCCCAACGGCTAGCTCAAGGCGTTGGGTCCAGGTTTAGAGCTACTTTCCCCAATGGAGGAACGTGACAATATCTTTTGGTAGAATGTTGCAATTTTAGCTTTCATTTATTATCACAAGTTGATTTCTTGCTTTTTGTATAATTGAAATGTGAAATTTCCTAGTCCACAAGAAAGTGAAAGTTTTTTTTTTTTAACAAAAATTAAAAGAAAGCAATTATACTGTTACTCCAATAATTAAACATCTACCTTATGAGATAGAGAAGAAAAAAAAAATTATTTACTTCTACAATTGATCGTTGAATTTTATCTTTTATCTTTTATTTTTTATTTTTTTGCATACATGTCTTAAAATTCAGGACGGAGGATTTTTTTTTTTTTAAATCGCTAATCTTATAAATAAAGTTTATTATATAGGATACAATTATGTATAATTGGCCGTAGAAATTTGATGATCATGTTATGTAAATTCTCCACTCAATTGTCTGTTGGTAATTGATAGTCGTAGAAATTCGATGATTATTAATATATTTTTTGTTATTTAGGATAAGCCTACGCTGTATATGGATTTACTTATATATTAACTCAATTCACGAAGGATTTTTTTAAAATTATTATTATTTATTATTTTTTTTAGTAAATGGTAAAAAAAATAGTCTTATTTGAATTAAAAAGATATTTTAAATTGATTTAGTGTACAAGTGATCCACTGAATTTAAATGAGTCATTCTTCATAAAGATAAATAGAAATTAAAGTTGCTAAAAGGATTATTAATTTTACTTAACTGGGAATTGAAGCAAGAGAAAGGGTGAAATTATAAAAGAAATTATAATAATAAATTAAATTGAACCATTAGTTTAAATATCTATTACTTTACTAATCTTACCATAAGTATTACATACCAAAACGTGATATAGTATAGTGGTAAATATATATACGATTTAATAATAGATGAAATAATAGATGAGGTTCGAATTCTTCACTCCAATGCTAAAAAAAAAAAAATCATAAGTATATATAAAAATAATTAAATACTGATACAATAAAACTTTTATAGTAACCAATTAATATATTGCTGAAATTCTACTTAATAAATACTAATGAATTAATATGTATGATCTCATAAAATAAAATATAGTTTTGACTATCGTAAACCATAATAATATGTAAAAGGTTATATTTGAATAATAATTTATATAATTAGTGATATTAATACTCTATAATTTTATTTTTTAATAAAAATTTAATATTCCTTTCCATTTGAGATGGAAAATAATGAAACCTCATACTAAATATTGAAATCTTACTTTTCAAATCTTCCCTTTTAGAGATTTTGGCAATCAAACGCCAATTACAGTATCCGAACTATGTGTAACGCTGACCTTTTCCTTTTCTTTTTAAACAAGAATTATGCAAAAGGAGTTTTCCGTTTTAAGTCATCGATCCTCAAAAAGAAAAAAGGAAACATTTTCCATTTTGATTTTATTTTCTTTAAAAATATAATTTCTCTTGTAAATTTGATTTTTCCTTTGGTAATTACTTTGCTGGATTATAGATTTCAAACTATATAATAATAAAAAAAAGAAAAAGAAAAAGAAAAAGAATAGATATAGTTTTCTTTCGTTCTAGAATAGTTAATATGATGTAAGATTACAACTTCAAATTTCAAGAATATTTATCACTTTGTAAATTAAGTGGTACAAATTTTCAATTGTACAAAGCATGGATTTTACAAGAAATTTCATGCAAACTTATGTCGTTTCCTGGGTTCTCATATTGAATAAGTTCTTGAATTCCTTTCTCAATCTCTCTTGCCTCTTTTATTAAATTTTTCATGCAAAAACCTAGGGCACCCAAACACAAGACCAATTGACTCTTTTGCTTCTCATTCTCTTCAAGTTCTTGAAACTTATCTACAACTTCATTTGAATCTTGAAGAAAAGAATTCATAATCTTCTCCATCTCATCTTCCTCATCGGAACCCGAAATTCCAGAAAACATTTTTGGATTTGGAGATTTTCCCAATTCAGGATCGTAATTAATGTTTTTATTTTCAAGTTCCTTGTCAAGAAATGTTAGGGATTTCAACAGAGAGAGATCCTCTAAACATTTAATTAAACCACCCACCATTTCTTTAAAAAGTTGAACATCATCACTTAGTTTATTTAAGTATCCCTTCAAAGAGATACCTTCAACTTTTTGTGATTCTTGTTCGAGGAATCCAACTGCATGAGCACTAAAAAGCAGAAGATCCACCATCTTTGACAAAGACACCAAAAGCTTACTATAGCAGCCACTATAGAAAGGCAAAAACCAGAAATTGGGCTCCACCTCAGCTTCTCCAATGGATTTTTTTAACTCACTAACTTCCAATTTTAGTATCTTTTGCTTATCTACCACATTGTCTTTATTGGAGTCAAGGCTAATTGACCCAATACAAGCAAACAGTGACCCTAAACTTTTATTTAGATGAATTTTGGCTAGAGAAGCAGCTCTTGTAGGTTGCAAAATTAACTCCACCATAATTGAACAAGACAATCCAATGAAGGTTTCAGTAATTCTTGCCATGGCAAATTCACTTGGCGGGCCGAAATTTTTCCTACCCAAAATTAGCACTGCACCAATTGCCGCAGAGAGTCCACCAGCCTGACCATACATTCTACTGCGCCTTAAAAAGCTAGTAAGAATGAACCAAGGAAGAAGAGATAAAAATCTTATAGGCAAGAATCTTTCGAAGACAAAACAACCAATTGCTCCATAAACAGAACCTAAAACTGTCCCTTGTGCTTTTACGTTAGCAACTTTAAATGTTGCCTCTCTTGCTGCAGCAAAACTAATAGCTACTGGCAGAGCTGACCAGAAACCATTTTCTTTGCTGTATAATAAACCGAATAAAGTTGCAAAACCTAAAGAAAGTGAACATTTGACGGCTGGTAAAACCCTTTTTGTATTCACATTCATAGTACAGTTACTCCAAACGTTCTTGAAATGGCTTTCTTGCTTTCTTGAATTATTACTTGCTCCTTCCTTGTTTTCTTGCTTTGGGTTTGGTAATGGTTTGCAGTGCAGGAGGTTGATGCAAAATAAGAAGAAAAGAGAGGACAGATGGTCGTTGTGGTTTGTTGGGATTGTTTGAAGAGTTTGGAAGGATTGAATTATTGTTTCAGCTTTTGATTCTGGAACAGTTAAAGAATTATCACAAGGGAAACAGTTCTTGATTTGTTCTACGGTTAAGTTTACATGGTCTTCTAATTTTAGTTTTTCTTTGGTTGTTTCTCCTCCTAGCATTCTTACAGGAAAAGAAGTCATACTATTTAATGCCATTTCCATTCCTTTTAAGGGTATCTCCAGTTCTTGCAATTTCGCTCCAGGATTCTTGTAACTAGGCCTCAAAAAGTCCAGTGGAAATCTCTCCCATTTCATGCTTCCCTGTTTTCAATTCAAGAAATAAATTAATTGTTAGATGGAAATACATATATGTCACTCTACTAAGTGCCACATGACGTAAGTTTTAAAAAAATTTATTTTAACGTACTATTTGATTATTATGTATTTTTATCTGTATACATTCGAATTCATATTCAAATACACTTTTTCAAAATTTCACTTTCTTGTCTAATATCAAATAACAAATACACATTAATTTAGAGAGAGTCTAATTAATGCTTACTTGATAACGCTTAATACTCTGGAGAAGTTTGGTTCCAGCAATAGCTAAAGACTTGGATTGTGAGATAGAAGATAATGCCAATGCACTGTCTTGTTCACAGAATGCCTTCACATAAAGTTTTAGCCTCTCTGAAGCGTTTTCAACAAGGAGCTTGCAATTTTCTTTCACCTGCAACACACCAACATGTCCAAATTAAATTCTTTTTTTTCCGGCATTTCATAAATTTTAAATATATATATACACACACACATACACACACAGACGATAAGAGGAACACTTACACCTTTTCTTTTCTTTTCTTTTCTTTTTTCTTAAAGGAACAAAATTTACTGTAGAACTCGAGATCTGTATACCCGTTTTTTAATTTTTTTAATCTGCTCTCCTTCATGATTCAGTGATCAATAACTTGCCTCGGTTAATTTATATTTATGGCTTTCTGTATATACCGAAATACATACTGTTACTATATTAATATACGTACAGCAAGACAAAATTTTTGGACCAACGTAAGATCCACCGTTACAAATCATTACACATCAACATTTGTTTCAACTTTTGTGACTTATGATGATATGATGAGTCTCATATTGGAGTACGGACAACTCTCTAATGTTTGGAATTTGGCCACAAGGCCCACAACCAAACAAATTGTAATGGTCATTCTCATTTTCATTTGCATTTGAGTGTCTATCTATTCTAAAAAACATCATTAAAATTATATATAATGTATAATACTCCTTTTCTTTTAGAAATTTATAAATGAGAAGAAAAAATGAAACATTGTAGGAGAATTATAAAATGATTAATAAAATTATATTTCATTAATTTTTCTCGGATTCAAACTCCAAACTTCTAAAACTACAGAATTAAAAAACTGATTAACTAATTTAAATAAATAACATACCTCCCAACAGGCCAATCTCGGATATGGCAACAACAAGGCAAGAATACTAGCCAAGACTCCAATGGCTGTACTAACAGCTACATTCAGAGGATGCATGATAGGCTCAGTATGGACGCCATTGATAAAGGCTACAACGTAAAGAATAACAATTTGACCTAATGCAATCCTTTTAGCTATCAAATGAGTCCCTTCAGGAATTACCACTGTAAATGCAGCTAAAGCCGCTGCTACTGATATGGTACCAATACTGAACCGAGCTGGTCCAATGAGCCATAGACTCAACATGGCAGGTCCAACAGTCTGGACCGTAGCATACATAGCTAGCCAGCAACCGTAGAGAGCATCGCCTGCGGTTGCATCAGTTCCTATTAGTATAACAGTCACATATGAGAATGCAGGAAAAGCTATTCGGTGGCGTAGAGAGGCTGGGCCATAGAGAGAGGCGCAACCCACTATTCCGCATGCTAGGCCGGTTCTAAAGGCGGAGGCAAGGCTCCACCGCCACACGGCTCGAGCTCGGTCTGGGCTATTGGATGGGGTTGACATTATGGTATAGGGAAAATAATGTAAGGGGAAATATTGGTTTCTTGTTTGTGTCACATGCAATGAGAAGCAAAACTTTTAAGGCTTGTTGCGGAGAGGAAGGAGGGTGGGGTATTTAATTGTCAGGAGAGAGAGGGAGCTTTTAAGTGGAAATTCAGAACCACGTATAAGGTACTATGGGACCCATGTGCCGTTGGTGAGTGGGGTGATGCCAGATTTTCAAATGTGTTTCCTTTTTTCTTCAATGGTACTATGGGACCCAAGTACTGGAAGGTCTTGGTAAGGGAGTAGGAATGAAGAAGTCTTCTAATTTGCTTCCTTTTTTCTTTCTTATCGGGCCAGGAGGTGTAATTTCTTTGGCGTCCTATAATGTAAATGTTTTTGCCTTGTTAAAAAACGTGCACTTCCTCAGAACTTGTGACCGAGATTGCTTACTGTCCAATTAATATCTTATTGGTTAATTTGCTTCTTGATACAAGGTTCAAGAGTTGTGAATGTTTATATTTATTTCTAATGATAGAGTATTTCCAAAAGAATTTTCCTTATAGAATCATAAATTCCAAACCTAAAAATTGTTAGTATTCGAAGAATTTATCTGAATATTGAAATTTAAAATCATCATTATTGAGAAGACTTTATTTATATATATTTTCTCTGTTTTAAAATATAAGTCGTTTTGAGTGATTAGTTTATTCCAATATATAAGTCATTTTGAGTATTTTAAGGAGTAATAAATGATTTTATTCCAATATTACCCTTATTTACATTACATACAATAAAGATTTTCAAAAGCAACTATTGATTTTGAGATAAAAAATAATTTAGTACAATTATCTTTAGTTTTGTTATAATTTAAGAGAATTCATTGCTTTCTTAATCCTGCGCAGAAATCTTAAACGATTTATATTTTGGGATAGAGGAAGTATTATCATAGTTGGAGCTCAAATTAATATCATTTACGCCAATTAGGTGATGGTCTGGTTAGTTTTTTCACTTATATGAAGAGTAAAAAGTCTTAAATTCAATTCTTTTTATCACAATTGTTGTTTTCGCCAAATTTGGTGGGAGTATGTGAATGGCGTGTGTAATATATTCAAATTTGCCCATTAGATGAATATTAATTAATTAGGTATGCGGTTAGTGGCTCGGCTTAGTTAAGACCAAGAGCCGATTTATGACTTTATTTTTGTGTCGTATTTTAGGCAACTTGTCCTCCTGGCAAAAGCTACATGCCGTCTCCACTCACCAACCCACCAACTAGAATGCAGTAAGATAAATTAATTTAGCCAATTAGAAATATAGAATTACAAGCACACCCATGCATGAAACCTCGTTTTGGTTTTCCAAAGCATTTGATGTCTAAGATAAGGCACTTTTACTTTAATTACTCGATTATTATAATTTATACTTTATTCCGCCGAAAGGATACTGCTCAAATATAAAGTTCACCTTTTAATTTCACTTAGAGGTTAACCCTAAAAACTACAAATTTTTTATTTTTTCTATATTTTTAATAATTTTGTGAGTTCTATATATGAAATTCTAAATATATATTTAGACTCGATTTGATAAACCAACCGTAATAGAATAAAATATAATGTGATAAAATGCAGTTTTTACTTTTTAATATGTATATATACATAATAATAAAAATGATATTTCCTTTGGGCCTTAGCTATTTATTTTTCAACTTAAGAATGTATAAATTATAAATATAACTTATGCCAACATGAAATTAAGAATCTTAATCTTTATATTAACTATAACTATACCTCTCATTAATTAATTAATTAATTTTATTTTTTAAGGAAAGGTGAATATAAATTTAAAATATTTCATTTTCCTGTAGTATAAGATTATTATTCATCATTTAAAATAATCGAATTAAAGATAACTAAGAAGTGAATAAAGAAAGCTAAAAATGAAAGGTATGTACATATCCACGTTATAATTTTATTTTTCTATTTCAGAGGATTAGGATTTGCAATTAATTAATTATAGATTAATAAGCTTAATTTCCTCATGACTAAAATTAAAATCAAATCAGAATGTATAGTTAGGTGAATGCTATCGTGTCATTTTATATTTATTCTTTTATTAAAAATGATCCATGTAATCATTTTTTTTAATTCATAATCTTCCTTAAAAATTCTTGAGCTGATAGAAAGTTTTCTTTCTTTTTTTTCTTTACCACAATCCTTGTGAGACCAAGCCATAATGATCTGACTGACTTCAATTTGATTGGAAGGGATTTTATTGTTACCCTAATAGATTTTTAGTGAATTTGCATAAATAATAAATTAAGAGGCGAAAATAAAATTAAGCTTATCTTAATTGATATATAATTTAATTGTAAAAACATTCAGCGCTTAAAATTAAAATTTTTAATATTTTCTAATTTCAGTTTAATTCTTATTTGTATATCATTCAAAAATTTTATTTACATTAAAATTCAATAAGTTAAAAATTTCAACTTATAAATTTTGTATATATATAGAATAATTTAGTCATTCAAAAATGTAAGGTTGTGTTTAGTTCGAGAAAATCCTGTTTTCTATTTTTTAAGAAAATAATTTTTTCAGAAAATGAAAATTAGAAAACAGAAATTGGAATGCGTTCACTTGGTAATAATAAAAAATTTTATTTTAAATTCAAAACTTCACAAATATTTTTCATGACTTTTATAATTACAAAAATAAAATTAGAAATTTTTTTTGAAAATTTTTAAATTTTTATTATCGATTATTTATAATAATAATATCAATTTTATCATTTTTTTTTCATGACTTTTATAATACAAAAATTAAAATTAGAAAATTTTTTTTTGAAAATTTTTAAATTTTTTATTATCGATTATTGTATAATAATAATATCAATTTTATCATTTTATAATTTTTTTAGATAATAAAGAATATATATGTATTATATAATAAATTTATTAATAATAAATTTAATTATATATCAAGGAATAATATAAATTTTAATGTATTTGAATATTTTTTATTTTTTCAATGAAAATGTTTTATAGAAAAATTAATATAAATATTATAATTTTAATTATTAAAATGTCATTTTTTAAAAAATAAAAACATTTCTTGGAAAACTTTTATAGAAAATTATTTAAATTTTCTACGAGTGAACACACCATAAAAATTTGAATTCTCTGTCATTCAAAAAGTTTTTATTTTTCTTAAAAAATCTATGAAAAAAAAATTGTATTATAATATAAATTTTATCTATAATTTAATAATAAAATATTTATGTCAGTGGATCATGTGAGAAGCTCATCCTTTAAAGAATTTTCAATGGTGTGAAAAAAAAAAAAAAGGCCGCACGTTCGTTTATCTTTGTATATAATTATCAACTAGCTAAGTAATTAAAATCATAAGTAACTTCTACGAACGGTGAGATTAATGTTGGATTAGTGGAAATCAAGGACAAAAATCTAAGATAAAGTTTGCAGTAATGGCTAATACCCAAATTAAGCTGGGTGAGCCAACTAGCCAATTGCTCAAATATGCAAAAAAAAAAAAAAAAAAAAAAAAAAAAAAAAAGTATTACTATTTACTTTTGTAATTTCTAACAAGAATAAAAAAAAAAAAAAAAAAAAAAAAGTATTACTATTTACTTTTTGTAATTTCTAACAAGAAATTAAGTCGAAACATCGTGAATTAAATAATGACGACATCAAATACATAAGACTTAAAGTGGGTTTTCTCTAGATTTCCACTTGAACCATCTTGTGATCTTTGAGGACAAGGAAGAGTCATCTTTATAAAATTTGAAGTTCTTGTCAAATGTATTCATATACCTTTTAGTTAGTGCACAAGTTAGTTAAAGCTAAAACAGTTTACTCGTATGCTCATATACACATATATTAATTTTCAAGTTAGTGAAAATAAATGAAAAACATTTTTCTATATATATTAATTGGCTGAGCTTATATACTTTGCTTACGTAGCTGAAAGTACAGAAGAGTTGTAGCATGCTTTTCCCACGAGGGTTTAATGGAGGAAGCACATAAAGAAGCACTTGCTTTGTGTATAATGACATCCAAAAGAAAAGCCAATAATTATATATTATAAAATAAAATAAAATAAAAGTCTTATAGGAAAAAAGCTAATATAAAGGTCTTTTTGGAAAATTGTATGTAGACTTGTAAGAGCAGGTGTGGTGGGATCCTATACATGCTGGAAATTTATAAGTGGGAACATATCAGTTTGTTTTTTATACGGAAAATAAAAATATAATTCTCATTATATCAGTTTTTTTAGTATTAACTCATTCCTTAATTAGGGATTTTTAATTATTTAACGTATGAATTTTCACTAATTCAACTATTGCGGTCCCTATATTATAAAATAATTATATAATGGAATGACAATATCAACGTTATTACCAGTACTTAAAATGTCCATTGAACGAAAATAACATAAAGGATATTTAAATATTTTAATTTCTTTTCATCTCCGTTTTTTTTATTTTAATTCATGTATCTCATATTTCTCTTAAATTCTTTTTTTCCTATTTACCATTTACAAGAAATTAATTTCAAAATATGATTTATTCACAATTTTTTCAAATATATTAAGAGTTCGATTTCATTATGTATAATAATTTCTAACAGAAAATAATTAAGTTCCCATGACAATTTTATACAACACTAGTGATCTTGAAATAGTTTCAATTGTTTATGCTGTAGAAAAAAAGATAATGATGAATGAAAACTATGATTTATATATAAATGTAACAGCTAAATTAATCTTTTTAAATTCCAATTAATATCTTCCAAAGCAAAAGTTACTGTTTGTTGGGAAGATAATTAAATGAAACTATCTACAAAATTACATAAAGCTTAATCAGAATTTTTATCCAAGATAGAAAAACATTTATTTCTTGTTACGTAAATGTGTGGGTGCAAACTAATTATGAAAAAACAAAAATAACAAAAAAAAATCAATCAATATATTTATTAAATAAAAATATAGTTGTAATTATTATTAAATTAATTTAAGGGATTAAATAATTATTTATTTAAATAGATAAAGAAATAAATATCTTTAATTGGACGTGCAATAAGATAATGCG